AAAAAAACTAAAAGAAAATAATAGAAATGTCAAAAAAATAAAATAAAATAAGTTTCTCATGTGATATGTGGTCTAGTTGTTGGGAAAATTTGCAAATGTGAATTTTGACTTTATTTGCAAAATCTCTCTGAAATTTGTAAAAATGGGCATAACTTTTGCATACTAACTCGGATGAAAAAGTTTTTTATATGAAAAATCATCTACTCGAAAAGTTACATCCGAATTTAACCGGGGGAACCTCGTTAAACATTTGCAAAATCCTCAAAAACCTAATAGAAAAAAAGTTACGGGGCTTTTAAGATCTAGAGTGGAAAAAATTGAAAAATATTCAAACAGTGGGCAAACTGTGGTCAAACAATGGTCAAACTAATTATTCTAGAATATTAGTGTTACTAAAAAATTATTTTAGTTATTTCAATTTTGGTCAAATCTGGTCAAACTGTGGTCAAACAATGGTCAAACTAATTATTCAAGAAATATTAGTGTTACTAAATAATTATTGTTTTTTAAAACAATAGTTTCAAACTCAAACAGTGAAATGTGTCACTTCATGCTCAAGCAAAATTCCTGAAGGTTAATAGGATTGATATCTTACTATTGTCAGGAAAACAACAAGTGCAGACTTGGAGTGAGGGAGAATAGAACCCGGAAGTTAAGCGTGCTCAGGCTGGGGGAGTGGGAGGATGGGTGACCGTTCTCGGGAAGTTAGATGATTTGAAATGATGAGGGGTGATTAGAGGATAAATTGAGAAGTGATGAGGGGTAGTGATTACAGACTAGAGGTTAAAATAATTCAGAAATTTGAAAATAAAAAAAATTCAAAAAAAATTTCAAAATTTTTTTTCAGAAAAAAATCATAAAATTTCCTTACCAACCGGGACTAAAGATGGAGCTCCACATGGCCGCGCCCTTTAGTCCCGGTTCTGGATTGAACCGGGACTAAAGGGTCAGGGCATTAGTACCGACACTTTAATCCCGGTTCAGGAACCGAGACTATAGGCCCTTTTTCTACCAGTGTAAATGTTTCATGGGGTGTTACGGCAAACTTCATGACCAGACATCTGTAGTACAAATGTGCATCTATAGTAAAGAGATTACTAGTTTTACTACAGGTTTACTATCGATTGATTCCCTGGGAACGTATAGTAAATAGGTTAACATGTGTTACTACATTTCACATGGGATCTTACCATAGACTTTGTGACTAGGCTTGTGTAGTAAAAAGGTTACCATGCTTTACTACTAGTTGCCTATGAATTTACGATCAAGTGGGAGACCAAGGCACCAGGTGCGTGCACGTTGGTTGCTTGGTTGGGTGCGCAGTTTCGGCCGGAGCGCAGAATTAGCATTGTACGCGCAGGCACAGTTTAGCGCCACCGTATATATATATATATATATATATATATATATATATATAGGAGTATTATCAAAATTCACCGGAAGTGCAAAGCACGTCAAACATAACAAAAATTATATCGAGATTCTGAGACCATCAAAGGACCACTATTGAAGCCAAAACGAGCCGCTGACGCGATTCTGTCATCGTTCCCCTGTTGGAACCGGCTTGACCTTGTTGATGACAACCAGAAGGTCTTCGTGCATGTGCCCCTAGGGACCAGAGTCCTAGAGCCGCGGTGGACGTCGTTGAACCCTTGAATGGATCTGAAGCACCGCACACCAAATCTCGCCACACAGCGAGAAACCCTAACCTCATTGCCCCAATGAGATGGCAGGAATCTACATGAGAGCTCTGTCAGCTTCGTCGAGATGGACAAAGTCAAGGAAGATCAAAGCCGCGAAGACAAACTCAAAGAAGAAGTGCTGCCATCCGCCCAAGTGTCGCCCCAAGATGACTAAAAACACTAAACTAAACTATTAACCAAAGTGAAGGCCCCGGGATTCCTCTCACCGCCGCCGGTCACCAGTACGGCAAGCAGAGGGGAGGCGAATCCACGGGCTCACCGACGAAGCCTGGATGGGAGAGTTTGCCTAGCCACCAAGGAATAGAGGAGGAAGAGTTAAAGATGGAAATCTTTTTAGATAATATTATGATGAATTTATTGATTGGTGAAAGTATTAAGTAAACCGACAATAAAATCAAAAGGGATCTAAATTCACACAATATTTTGAGAACCCTTCGTATTACAAGCAAGACACTATTGCTCTCATGAAACTACACTAAAAGATACATGATTAAAACCTCTAGTTAAGAAAGAGCATTCTTCAAAATTCACAGCCATTGCCCAATAAAATTTCCGTGAAAATGGACAAATCTGGCCCTTTTTCAAAACTTTAGCATAAAATGAACCCGATTAAAAAAATCACAAAAATGGCCCATTTGGTGGGGCGTGATGCTAGATAGCGGGACGCCCTCGGTAGGGGTAGCTATGGTGCCATCTAGCATGGCGTCTCGGGCCAAGGCATCATGCAATGGGCCATTTTGTGATTTTTCTTGGAATCTGGTTCATTTCATGCTAAAGTTTCAGAAAAGGGTTAGATTTTTCATTTTTCATATAATTTCCACCATCCTTCGTAACCTCCATAACATGCATGGAATCATTATTAACTATTAGGTTGTTGCACCCCCACCCCACCTCTCTCACCAGAGTCAGACTACCGTATAGCAATGTTGCTTCGTTCGCCACCACATCTGTAACATTATTCAGTCCACAACAATTGCATGCCCTCAAGGTACTGCATCCATTTCTGATACCCCCGTAGCACATGTTCCCTGGTTAATTGAGAAGGCAACGTCTATATTAAGCTTGACATACCCCTCTCTTGGTTTTTCCCATCCATGCTTTTGGGCCTCGTAATTCTTCTTGTGAGCTCTCGAAAAATTGGTGGCAAAAGTCAGTGTCGAGCACGCCTAGCTCGAAACATGTTCTCCCCTACATACCTTCATATGCCCCACCAAATATACCAGCATGTCATCGCCATTTCATCTTGTTGTTGGGAAACATAGCATGCAATTTCAAAAAAAATCATACGATCACGCAAGATCTATCTAGGAGATGCATAGCAACGAGAGGGGGAGACTGTGTCCACGTACCCTCGTAGACCAAAAGCGGAAGCGTTATATTAACGCGGTTGATGTAGTCCAACGTCTTCACGATCCAACCGATTCAAGTACCGAACGTACGCACCTCCGTGTTCAGCACACGTTCAGCACGATGACGTCCCTCGAGCTCTTGATCAAGTAGAGGGTCGAGGGAGAGTTCCGACAGCACGACGACGTGGTGACGGTGATGGTGATGTGATCCGCGCAGGGCTTCGCCTAAGCACTACAACGCTATGACTGGAGGAGTAAACTGTGGAGGGGGG